ATATTTAGCATATGTTTCTTGCTTAATATTGTTTATGCTGGTTGTAAATCTAATTTTTATACTTGATATCTGTTATTATTGTGTATAGCTTTGTATTGGGTTTGGAACTCTCTTCTTTAGACAAAAGGGTGAGGTGATGGGGAACCTCCTTCAACTAATGGCCTGTGAGAGGCTGGACCAGATTGGGCGAGGCTTTGGGTACCAAAAGGTGCGGGTCTCAAAAGGTGAGGTTCTGCCCTGTGAGCTCTTCCCCACACACACACCTGGATGCTGGCTTCCATTCCTGTTTCCTGTTGTGATCTGTGAGTCCCCCCTTAAATAAAGAATTTATACCCTATTCAGAACTAGTGTGGGATTACTTTATTGGTGTTCCCCTTCGTTTGGTGTGTTCCCCTTTCACCTCCAGTGCTTAAATCTGATTGGTCCAATGTAAGCAGCATTATCCAGCTGCACCCTTTTCTTCATGCTCTTGTGATTGATGCTTTGAGTCAAGGAGTCTGCATTACAGTTAATGACCTTTTTGTTACCCCCACCACCCTACCCCATCACCCCACCCCACCTCCCCCGCTGCCGTGTAAACTGATTATCTCCGTGACCAGTGTATGGATCTCACTCCCAGGCTGAACACAAGCATGGAAGGCAGTTCTGCTGATCATATCATGGTAACATCCTGACATGTACACCCAGCTGGACCCCGAGTCACAGAGTAACTCAGGCCGAGAAGACCCTGGCTCTCCTAGAGTTCACAGCTCACAGGAAGAAAAGGGGAAAAAACAAAAATAAGTAAGCAAATGGGGCTGGAAAGATGGCTCAGAGGTTATGAGCACTGGCTGTTCTTCCAGAGGTCCTGAGTTCAATTCCCAATAACCACATGGTAACTCACACCATCTGTAATGAGATCTGGTGCCTTCTTCTGGCATACAGGTATATATGCAGACAGAACACTTTATACATAATAAATAAATATTTTTTTAAATATTTATTTTATTATGTATACAATATTCTGTCTGTGTGTATGCCTGCAGGCCAGAAGAAGGCACCAGACCCTATTACAGATGGTTGTGAGCCACCATGTGGTTGCTGGGAATTGAACTCAGGACCTTTGGAAGAGCAGGCAATGCTCTTAACCTCTAAGCCATCTCTCCAGCCCCATAAATCTTTTTTTTTAATGAATAAAATTAATTGTGAGCCAAACATGAATTTGAATTTAACCGTGAGCCAAATATGGTTTAGATTTAAAAAGACCCACACCCCACACCCCACACCCCATGCTCTCATTTTTTTTTCTTTTAAAATTTATTTATTTATTATGTATACAGCATTTCTTCCATGTGTGCCTACAGGCCAGAAAAGGGCACCAAATCTCATTATATATGGCTGTGAGCTACCATGTGGTTGCTGGGAATTGAACTCAGGACCTCTGGAAGAGCAGCCAGTGCTCTTAACCACTAAGCCATCTCTCCAGTCTCCCATGCTCACATTTTAAGCACTTGATTCCTGGGTTTGTGGCTCTGTTGTGAAGGCCGTGGGACTTGTAGGAAGTGAGACTTGGCAGACAGACGTAAGCCTCCAGAGGTGGGCCTTTGAGGTTGTTCCCAAGTTTCTGCTTCCTGTTCATGGCCATGTGAAGAGTGGCCAGTGCTGGTCCCATTGTCATTAACCCTGACAGCTAAATTGCACTGAACTTGGGCAGAAGCAGGAGGATCTGCAGATCGCCAGAGTTTCTTCTTGTTGTCATTTGGCTTTGACCTGAGGGTGATACTGGTCTATGTGTACTATGTTGGAAGCATTCTCTTCTTGCTCTGCATTTGGAAGAGTTTGTGGGTGTGTGGGTGTGTGTGTGTGTGTGTGTGTGTGTGTGTGTGCATGTGTATGTGTGCACGCGCACATTTATCAGGCTTGCATGAACAAATGGCACAGATGCACGGGGAACACAGAGGTGGATATCAAATGTCTTCCTCAATCACTCACCATCTCAATCACTCGCTTGATTATCTCCATGATGGAAAAGCTGGAGATGCCCACAGAATTAGAGCCAATTAGAAATCAGGAAAGACAAACACAATATGTATGCACTCCTAGTGGATGCTAAATTTAAAGCAAAGGACAACCAGACTACCATCCACAGCTCCAGAGAAGATAGGTAAAGAAAGACCCTATGAGGGTCACATGGATCACCCTGGGAAGGGGAAATAGATGAGCTCTCCTTGGCAAACTGGGGGCAGGGGGTGGTAGAAGGGAGGGGGTGGAGGATGAGAACATGAGGGAACAGGATGGCCGAGTTGGGGGAGAGGGACAGAGCAGAAGAGCAATAAAAGAGATATCTTGAGAGAGGAAGCCATTATGGGGTTAGGGAGAAACCTGGTGCTAAGGAAATTCCCAGGTATCCACAACCCAGGTATCCACAAGGACGGCATCAGCTAAGACTCTTAGCAATAGTGGAGAGGGAGTCTGAACTGGCTTCCTCCTGTAGTCAGATTGATGACCACCCTATTGTCATCAGAGAGCCTTTATCCAATAACTGATGGAAGCAGATGCAGAGATTCACAGCCAAGCACTAAGCCGAGGTCTGAGAGTCCAGTCGAAGAGAGGGCTCGGGAGGGAATAATTATGTGAGCAAGGGGCGTGGGTCAAGACCATGACGGGGAAATCCACAAAGACAGCTGATGCAAGCACTCACGGGAGCTCAAGGTCAAGACCTGTCTAGGCAACCTAAGGGGAGGTGGCTGGAGGTTTGGCTGTCCTGGAGCTTGCTCTGTAGACCAGGCTGACCTCACAGATATCCACAGATATCCACCTATCTCTGCCTCTACCTCCAGAGAGCTGGGATTAAAGGCGTGCACCACACTACCACCCAGCACACTTGTTACTCTTGCAGAAGACTCAAGTTCTGTTCCCAGCACCCATATGTCAAGTGGCTCACAACTTCCTGTAACTCATTCCAATGAATTCTATGTCCACGTCTAGCCTCTATGGGCACCTGCACACACACACGCACACGCACGCACACACACACGCACACAAATGCACATGCACATAAACAAAACATAAAATAAGTCTTTTAAGCTAGGCATAATGCCCCCAACCTTTAATCCCAGCACTAAAGAAATAGAGATTGGTCAGCCAGGGCTACATAGTGAGAACCTGTCTCAAAAAATGAAAACATCTTACTGGGCAGGGCTTTAATCCCAGTACTTGGGAATCAGAGGCAGGTAGATCTCTGTGAGTTCAAGGCCAGCCTGGTCAAAGCCAGTTCCAGGATAGCTAGTACAGAGAAATCCTGTCTTGAAAAATCAAAAGAAAAAAAATACACCTTGTTTAAAAAGTGCTAGGAATATAGCTCAGTGCTAGGGCACTTGCCTGGCCAATGTGAGGCTCTGCATACGTGTGTGTGTGTGTGAGAGAGAGAGAGAGAAAGAGAGAGAGAGAGAGAGAGAGAGAGACTACAGGTATGGACTTCAAGTCACTTCAGTCTTCACAGCATCCATCTCCCTAAAACCATCAGCTCAGGGAGACCCCCAGCTGAATGCCAGTGGCACTGTGTGAGTGTCCACTGATGGTTGTCACCTGAATTGTTCATCACCATGTGGCTTGAAAATTACAATTCATTTCCTGTAAAGCATAGCAAACTCCAATAAGCTTAATTACCAACCTGCAGTTCTGTGTGTCAGCACATCCAGCTCTCTGGTCAGGATCTCCTACGGCTAAAAATAAGGTGTCCCTTCTGCTGGGTTCTCAAAGTTCAAGTCCTCTTTCAAATGAACATGGTCGTGGCTGAATTCAGAATCTTGCTGTACCTGGCTGCTGGTCGGCTAAAGGCTGCTTGTGTTCCTTACTTTGTGACCCTTGTGGTGTCAAGCCAGCAGCCCTCAAGGCCCAAGCTTCTTCTGTCAATAAGACCAAGGCCCCTATAAGGACTCACTTGGCTGCTCACAGCAGCATTGCTTCACAGCAGGATGCACTTCAGTAACTGAATGACCAGGTCGTATGTGTGAGGCGGCAGGCCTCTGAGGGCAATCTGAGGTACACCCTCCTGAAAGATTATTTCCTATGCCATTTGCATTTTCACAGAGCAGTTGGTGGGGGGGCTGAAACCATGGAGCTATATCTACATTTAAGTGGTATTCCATTTTAAGACAGTTCTTCCAGCCATCCAGCCAAATAGGAGCACAAACATGGGGCTTCAGAAGGCAGAGAATGGATCTGGAGGATCAGGAGATCAAAGTCATCCTTGGCTACATCACGAATTTCAGGCCAGCCTGGGCTGAATGAGATCCTTTCTCAAATGCTGGGATTATAAATGGCCACACCTCTCACAGTTCTTATTTATTTGGCGGCAAGATTTCACTATTAAGACCAGGCTAAGAACACTGGCTGCTCTTCTAGAGGACCTGGATTCAATTATCAGCACCTACACAGCGGCTCACAACTGTCTGTAACTCCAGTTCTAGGGGACCTGACACCCTCACCCAGACATACGTGCAGGCAAAACACCAATGAACATAAAAATAAATTATTAAAAGATCTGGTAGGCAGTCTTGAACTTGCTGTGTGGACTAGGCTGGCCACAACCTGACCCTCTTTTTATTTATTCTGAGACAGGATTTCACTAGGTAGTCCTTGAGCTTGCTGTGTAGACTAGGCTGGCCTTGAATTTGCAGAGATTCACCTGCCTCAGTCTCCCTTGAGTGCTGTGATGTGTGTTACAACGCCCAGCTAAAAGACTTGTCTACCTCCTCTTCAGAGGTCTCCCTTCCTCTATCCGTTAGCACTCTGCCGAAGAAAGAAACTCAGTCAAATTTCCTCACAACCAATCCTTGAGGGTACAGTGGGAACTACCTCTGTACAGCCTAGGCTGAGGAGCCTAAAGGCGGTGGGACCACGCCCACCTCTTGAGGTCAGCCAATCAGAACTGGAGATGCTCTTAACTCCATTGTGAAGAGTGGCCTTAGCCCGCACAGTTCTTAGGATTCTGGGTAGGTCCTCGGAAAGCGCGGTGAGTCTGGGTCTCTGTTTTCAAGACATCAGGATCTGTCTTTGCATGAAAAGATCATGGCTACAGCCCCACCAGCTGCCCCACCAGCTGCCCCACCAGCTGCCCCACCAGC